TTTGACATCCCGAGGAATCCAGTCACTAACGGCTCTTGTCTATCGGTTATCGTTCATACGCATTAGCTGTCCGGCCCACCTTATTTTTGATTGTTTGGCGTAAAGAACGACATCTTCGATTTTTCTTCGTTGGCGCAAGTCAGAACTTCGGATCCTTTCCTTTACTTGTGTGAAACGCGACACCCCTAGCATCGTCCTTTCGACTGCGCGTTCAATAACGCTGAGTGATCTTTCATCCTGTTTAAGCAGACCGTTGAGTCGAAAAGGTGAGTCGGATGTTCGTTGTCTCTTCACTACATCCACGATGCCCTTCAAGTTCTCCAAATCGCGCGTTTCCTTCTGCTCAACTCTGAAGCTAAGTGTTTTTCAATTTCCCGACTTAGATAGTCGTAGCTAAATCATTCATAGATTTCCGTTCCGTTGAGCGTGAATTGGGTGTACGAAACCAATCCGTTCCTCATGAACATCGCTTTTGTGAGATTTAGTCGAAGATCAATTTTTCCATAGGCTTTATGTGAAATCTTTGCATAGCTCATGAAGAATCCTAACACACTGAGTAGGGAGGCCTTGGCTGTCGAGAGCTACCATGACTGCTTCTTTCTCAGCTGAGTCAAAAGGCTTTCTTAAATCGATGAAAGAGATGCGAGACTGAGCGTTCTCTTGTATTCTCGCGATATTTCAATGAGTCTTGTTATCGTGTCGCTGTGATCCATCGCACTGAATCCTTTACCAAACCCTGTTTGCTCATATGGCTGTGCTTCATCTAGCGTTCTGTCATCTTGAATAGGATCACTGGAGTGAAAAGCTTGTAGACGACAGACAGTAAGCAGATGGGCGATAGTTCCCGATATCCTAGTTACCTTTCCTGTTTAGACAACACAGTCTTGCTGCTTTTCCATTGAATAAGCCGACTAATGAAATACGCCTTCGCCTGCAGAAGGTAATCGGTTCGATCTCGGCCCGGACTTTGATTTGCATTAGTTCTTGAACGAAACATCTTACAACACGTTATTCGAAGAATTCTAATAGCAGTACTTTTAAGATGTTTTAGACGACGAAATGGCTTTAGACGTAAGAGTAGGCAGGCCAAGCTCGAAATGGCGCGACCTCTTACTTCGCGTCTCATCATAATCCACATTTCTATTCATCCAGCTAAATACACAGTTCACATTTGTTTAGATTGCTTTGTCTTTTTTCTGCTTTGTTTATTTATAGCAACGTTGTGTAAGCTGAACAAATGCATTGATTATTCACGTCGAGTGTAGGTTAAAGTCGGTATAGTTAGTTAAGTATACGGACTGTATGACAAGAGGAGCTCTCATTCACAAAAGATAACTTCAGTGATGTGGTAGAGAACCTAGAGATCATACCTAAATATAAAAGTATATGACACATTTCTGTGATCAACTTCTCGCCTATTTCTTAAGCTCTTAAACAGCCGAAATATGTATATACAACGTATAGATGTGCACATAATAGGCACACGTGAATACGTACATATGCTTATGTGCATATTTAGACGTATACACATATATTCATACATATACTTTATACATATCTTGGACGCGTATGGCGCAGTGGTCGGAGGCGCCCTGAACCACACACGTGGAATCGGTCCCCGCGCCCATGGCCAACGAAGCCTTCCATCCCTCAATTAGTACGACTTGTATGGGAGGATAGCAACACTGGCTCAATACATTGGTAGGCCACCACAAGTCATTATAAAGGCCAGATATGCATTCAATCACCTCTAGCGATACTTAATGAAGTCGAATGCATGGCGCGAATGCATCGGGGATTGATCAACGCCCACAGCTTTATCCTTTATTCTGTTATATATTTTAATCACACTATTAGGGGTGGATAGCACAATGGTGGTGATGCCGGTCATCACGAACACGGTGCTGGTTCGATCCTAATCCAGGCTCACTAAGTCTCTCATTCCTCCGGTGTTGGGAACTTGGTAACGGACTTGGCCGGAAAAACCATTTTCTGCAATCCCATTAGGAGCGCTGTAGTCCGGCTATCTCTGTTCTCTAGTGAGAATCGACTCGATCGGTATTCAGCCAGATTCACTGAAGTGTTCTACTTATCGAAAAGTTATCAGTTATTGTCAAATAGCAAGTCCATAAAAGCTGAAAATGAGACTTTGTCCCAAGCGGAAGGGTCGCTAAACACCGCGCGTCCATTATGTGTCAATAACTGAGTCCAGAGAGAATGAAGGAAAAAGAAAGAACATCGAAAGCAGGACATATTTAGGTATCGTTTAGGTATTAGGTACTCACATGAAACGCATTGGTTAGAGGTACTTTTCAATACGTACGTGGTTGTTGGCTTGACTGCATGCTGGTAGTAAACTGGGCTCTTCATCACTCGAACAGCGGTTTCGGCTGGTGCCAGAGCTGTATGACAACTTAAGAACACTGGCTTGATGTGTCGTTATGCCACCGCAAGCCAGTGTATAGACAAAATATTGGTTAATTCGTCTTTACGATGTTTAGAGGAATCAAATGCGAATCCCCTTAGAAAATGATCAACGCCAAGTTCTCTATCATTTATCTGTTCTTGATTGTATGATAAGTTCAGGACAGACGAGAACGAAATGAGAACGACCGTGTGGAATCCAGAGGCTATAAGGATACTCTGAGAGAACACTCTGTAAGACGAGCGAAAGTGCTCATGGCTCATATCAAATGAAGCTGAAAAAAGGGTATGGATCATAGAGTTGTTATCGCATATCTCCTTATCAAGTAAACCATCGCCATTATATCCACTTATACTGATTCCACTTATATGCCTATATCTATATTTGTACATACGATTGGAAAATGTGCTGGATTCCGTCGACTCGTGACCGCAGGCAATCCAGGGATCCAAATGCCCTAGAAAGACGATGTTCACGAAGAGTTGGTTCTTACCGCCGTATCACTCACACTATTTAATGTAGTGACCATCATCAAATCTTTGAACTGTGCCCATTTAAGTGTAAAAGTGAAATTTGATACATTTCGACGATGAAGGTACCTTCGTACTTACACGCCTCAGTACTGCATACTTAGATTAAAGGTCTCTATGGAAGGAAGTGAGATGTATTTGCCAATGAAATCGATAAATACAGTCTAAAACTAGGTATTAATGGCAATATTCTTTAGAAAAAGAGCATTGCGAAGTATCTGCCAAGTTTCGTTCCAATCACCTCAGCATCACTTTTCATTCGATTTTAAACATATTTCTTTGTTTATGGAAGTACTGAACTTTTTGATGCCTTTCTATTTCCTATAAAACAGACTCATTTTTCATGCAAATATTCCAAAAAACTGTTCTGTTTACACCAACTAATATTTGCTTAAGGTTCCGCACGTCGGCGGCGCGCTCCAATTCAAATTTTTGGACTATCTGGAAATTTTCTGAACTTTCAAGTAAATGCTTCCGATGGACGCTCAGGTGTGTTGTCCTATATCTGATTCTCCAGGATATTCGTTTGATCGTTAGCAAATATAGCTTTCCAAAATTACAGGATCTTTATTTCTTAAGGTGCTCTCTACGGATCGTGCTGTTGACAACCACTTAGCAACTGTTTTTCGTAGTTTGGAGGATTCCTGTTTAGCTTCCGAGAGGTTCGATTTTAAATATGAATGCTGTTTTCGCAGACATATCCATTGTCTTTGTTAGAACAAGCTATGTTGCTAACTGTGTATGCTATTTTTTTGATCAGTATTGTACTCGTTTGCTTGCAAGTGTTCTGGGCTACCCTAACTCCTCGTTATGCGTATTAAATGTTAAGGACAAACTTCTCTTCCTTTACGGATTACAAGACGAAAAGGAAATTTCTGCTATAGGTCGGGGAGATCGTGGCGTGGAAAAGGTCTAGTTGTTTTAACAAGAATAGGTATTAGTGAAAATGGATGAGAACAGATCTTCCTGAAGAATTTCCGGGGCATGTGTTGCACTAGAAACCAATGATAACGTGAAGGTAGAGGGCTTGAAGTGTTGCTTAAATGCTTACAATTTCTTCTATTATGCAACTTCTTTAGAGAATGCGTATAGCGCAGTGGTCAAGGGCGCCGTGCGATACACACGAGATCGATCCCCACGCCCAAGAGTTACGAAGCCTTCGATCCCTCAGGGGTCGGGAAATTAGCACTGTACTTGCCTGGGAGGATAGCAGGACTGGCCCGATACCCCGGTAGGCCACCGCGAGTCGTTGTAAAGGCTAGATATCCATCCAGTCACCTCTAACGATGCTTAATCAGGGCAGAACCATGGCACATACCTCAACAATTGATCAATGCCAAACGTTTTATCTTGTTAATCCTTTTTATGCAACTCTTTCGATTCATTTTTTGAATCTGTGGTTATCTAGTTTTAGAGTTCGTGATAATTCCACTAAGCTAGTCGAACTTGACACTCGAAGACAAAAAATAAGGGAAGCGTTATGTTCACTAAAGAGACCGCAGCAGGTATGTTCCTAAGAAATCCACTATCTAGCAGGATGGCTTAAAACTGAGTTTTTCATATCTCTGGTCTACTTTATTTCAGTGAACTACGCATAGGTGAAAGAAAGTTTAGGAATCTACTACATGGCTATCTTTGACAGAAAGTCTGATGATGGAATTCCCTCTGTCGAACGGTATGGAAGTTCTTCGATGTTCACTGGAAAGAACTGAGGATGACATTGCACTGCTAAACAGGCAAATCAGAGAAGAGTTAAATAATGCATTGAAGGCGGAATCTGCAAAAGATCTCCAGTCTCGAGGTTTCGATCTGAAGCCTATTAATAAGTAAGCTTATGCATCTTTGTGCCTGTATGAAAGCCTCATAGTAATTTTTTATTTCTTGGTATCTTGAAGAATGAACATTTTCACTATATCACTTTGTATCGTCTTTGATTGTGGTACCTTCCGGACTTGATTATTTATTTATTATTTATTTTTTGTAAGGTTATAATAGTGTGGGCGTTTAAATTTGGTTCATTTCAAGATTGCCAGCGTTTCATTTTGATGTCAGTACAACAAGTTTTTATCATAAGTAGAGCTGGAAGTTTAATTTATGATTGGGAGGCCAAAACGGACGTAGTAAGTCAATATTATAACCTTCATTTTGTTAGAAGCTAAGGTTTGGTTCAATTTAGGTTGAAGTGGAACGTATCTGCGAGTATCCTCTCGACATAATTCTAGAAGAGGTTGATCAAAAGGCAGTTGTCGTGTTTGGAGAGAAGGACGGAGTAAAACTGAGGTGTGTGTATTTCTTCCTACTTCTTACTCTGGGCGCGTGTGATGCAGTGGTTGGGGACGCCCTGCAATACACATAGGATCGATCCCCTCGCCCCTGGCTCGCCAAGCGATCCATCCCTCCGGGGTCGGCAAATTAGTTCCAGACCTGTCTGGGAGGATAGCAGCGCTGGTTCGATACATCGATAGACCACCATGAGTCACTGTAAAGGCCAGATACGCATTCATTCACCTCCAATGATGATCGTTGAAGTCGAATGCATGGTGCATCCCTCAGAGATTGATCGACATCGAGAGTTTTTTTCTACTTCCCACTCTTAATTAAACGTGAGTCAATGTCATCGATTCTCGATGTCACTATTTGCTAATTCGATACGTTTTTTTTTTCCAGATATTACGTTACGGGGGTGAATGGTTCCAAAGTTTCTGGCACTAGAATTCTGGCTGGTGAAGCCGAGCAGAGTATTTTTAAGTATCTAGAAGATGCGGCGAATTTTCCGGTTAGGTATAGCACATATTGTGGACACAGTACTTTTCACCCCCGTCTAGTCATCTACTTAACAATACTACTTGCTACTTTTTAGGTTAGTATCCGCTTTTCCCCACCTTCGATATCAACGAATGAGAAGATCATTCTGTCATCAATGTTTCACTCATTGTTTACTATTGCTGTACAGTTGAGCCCGGCCGCTAAAAGCTCCGGAATAGAAGTAAGAAAGTTTATATTCATTCACAAAGCTTACTTTAAAACTTTTGAAAGTTAACGTTCTATGTGGTCTTATTTAGCGTTTCGAATGTAATGTTTGTGGTCTGATTTTGACTTTTGTCCTCTAAACAGTAATCTTTAGTGGCTTCCTATCTTATGCCATTTCTTCACCAGAATTGTTCTTTTTTTGCCGAAGTGGACAGTTTCCAGAAAGGCGCTTTAGTCGCATTTATACTCCTAGACAAAACCACTCAGGTCCTAGTTCTCAAGGCACAAGAAACTGCATGGTGTTCATGGACTTATTTGGAATTTCAAAATTTATGTTGCGGGTATTCCTTTTTAGAAATAAGAGAACTGAACCATTACGGGTTGAACCGACTTTTTATTTTCTTTTTCTTTTTCTTCTTTCAAGCCACTTCATTAAGTAGGTTCGAACACCATCCTTATTGGGAACTATTATGGATCAGATATGAGCTTGGATCCATTTCATGTTCAAACCTGTTCAGTAATGTGCACTCATCTACTACTGAATTTTCTTATTACTTACTTGGAAATTTGGATGCCCCTCTTCACTAGTTTTATGCATACCATTACAACTTTCATTTTTCGGAGCTTTGTTGGTTAAGCTGTTGTGGTTCTCTGGAATCCTGAAGTCGGCTTAGCCAAAGTCTGGCCCAGGTCGTCACAACAACAGGCAATCTCCGCCCATGTGAATCAGAGGAGATTTTCCATCATGTGACTAGTTCGTTACCAGGACGCAAGTGGATCTTGGCATTGGTCTACTCTTTGCTGGGCTTCCTGGTGGAAACCCAGGACTCCTGAGCTTTAAAGGCCCTCCTGGGGTTTGAATCCCCTTGTGTACATCGTAACCTGATAACCAAGAAAACCTCCCAGCTACGATGAGGCGGTAAACCATTTGGAGGAAATTTGACATTATATAATACAATATAGGACAATTGGAGATATAAATTTTCTTATTCAAATTTCCTGATTATTTTCCTCGCATTTCTAACCTTATTTTTCCTATATTATATTCTTCTAGGTAGTGGAGACTACACAATTTCGATTATCATGTTTGCAAAGCAGAACAGGTATTTGTGTAAAAAGTGCTTCAAGCGCAGTTCCCACCACGGAATTAGTTCATTTGAAGGAGTGAAATTTGTTGTGGTAACATCTCCACCATCTGCAATACCAGTGGAATCGCTCCTTAATAAGATTTATGAACTCTATGCTGACTATGCGTTGAAGAATCCATTTTATGCCATTGATATGCCAATCAGGTATGCACTTTTGCTTTCCAACGAAACAGGATAGGATGACAACGATTTTTTTGCTCTATTAGATAGCTTTACCTGTGGTCTATTTCCAGGTGTTCCAAGTTCGAAGAAGGTCTCAAGTCACTCTTAGAACGTGTAGATAAGAATTCAAGTTTTGTTACAATGTGATAGTATTTTCATACTACTAATTACGAGAGTAATTTTACTTTGTCATACAAGTATGTACCGTGCTATGTCTATAACGTTTATCAATGAAGTTGTAAACATAGTATACAGGTGTTGTGCATGCGTTTGCCACTGTTTGGTTCATGCCAATGGGCCTAACATACTGTAAGTGATCATACAATGTGTCTGTTGGGTATCATAACGTTGCAGATGACCCTTGATGCTAATTTTCCATTCCGTTGGCAAATTCCAGACCTATGTGGATATCTGGTTTTTGGCGATGGAGCCGTTATAAAGGTATATTTACAATGTTGTTTACCTGTTTGAATGTTTATAAAAATTTGTTCAATTATTATGTTATTGATTTCACGAAAACTGAGGGAACAGAAGCAACTACGCGCTCCATCTTACGTTTATTTTGCCGAACCCGTGATTATTCTTCTTAGTTTTCTGTTAGTCGGCTTAGAACTGACTTTTTATTAATCCGGGGCGATAATTTTTACTTTGGGGACGAGAATAGCTCTGTGGTTAGTGATGTTGTTGATCAGGAAGCAAAAGGCGCTACTTCGGTCCCAGATCCAACGCACTCCTCCAATCCGCGTGGGAACGCCTAAGCCAGGCTATCTCCAAGAGAATTGACTCGAGCAGCATTCTATGAAAATTATAAAGAAGATGAAATCCTCAAGCAGAAACTGAAATAACTCGCGAAATGTTATGAGACTATTGTGGTCGATGAGTGGGAGGAAAATTAATCGAGTGCAAGTGCTAGGATCCGTACAGTAAATGTGACGACGGATCGTTTAAAATAAATGCAAGTAATCGTAATTTGATTTTTAATCAATTTGGAATTTTAACTACACATTGTGATTTCGACCACGTCCTCAGCTTAACTCGGTTCAATGCCGATTTGTACGTCCCAGGTCATCCCCGCTAAAGGCTAATTGGTGATGACGTCGTTAGAGTGGAAGGGAAAAGTGGCTGAGAGAAAGGCATAGAGGGTCTCTGTGGTGCAGTGAGTAACAAATGAGCCCTCTGAAAGGGTAATGGCGGATTCGAATCTGGTTTGAAGTCTTAGTTTTGCAAATGTCTCAACATCCTCGTGATTCCGTTTGACTTTTAACTGTTTATAGTCTGGTGGAGAACTAAGCAATCGAGAGAACATTATGCTGATTGTCGAGAAGATCATAGGTGTGACGAATTCGGACGTGTTGCCGAACACAAAGTTCTATCAGATCACCATCTCGTATCCTGAACACTTCTACGTCATCAGCCAAAGCGGGAAATACACATATGTTGTTAAACGGAAAGTTCATGCTTAGTTCTACTTAAAACTTAAATTGCAATGATATGTGGTCAAATCTTGCTCATTTATAAAACAAATCGTCTGTGATGATGCTCAAGTCATATTCTGCTCCCTACTTTATTGTAATCGATAGAGCCGTTCTATTTATTCTTTTTTTTTACTATTTATTGGAATTTTCATCCTATTATGTATGGCTTCTTATGAATGAATGTTTTACTATCTTGGCGTAACATAGAAATGTTATCTTACCCTAGTAGACATAACATAGAAATCTTTTGTAAGGTCGCTCAATGAGCAACCATCGTAAAGATGGATATGCGTTCGTGCCATTTCCAAGATCCATAGTCAAAATTGGTTGACCAATTGGTTTTTAGGACATATTTGATACCACATTTGATATTTCGGCCTCAACAGACACGTGACTGCCCAAACGCCCACCATTTGCTTGGGGTTTTGCAGTAGGTCATTTTATCAGAGTTCAGGGTTATCATATTTTTCTGCAGTAGTTCAACCTTATAAATTAGGAACATCTAGGAGACACTTTTACAGTGAACTTTGGAATGTGTAAGTATTGAATGATAACTTGTTCTGAAATGAACCAACTTCTGCGACTTGTTGTCTACTATCAATCGATGGATATTCATCAACGCGCGCCAGGTCGACGGGCACGCGTGGCAGTGTTACACAAACAATGACGGAGGTCGGCGGCTCGTATAAGGACTCTCTTTCTCAGGTTACAGGCCGATATTTCTTCTTTAAACCGTGCTAATATCATTTCATTAGTCCTTTAGTTTCTACAGAATTTATCGTTTAGGCCCAGAAAAACGAGCTGAGAGCAATAGCCGAGAAAATTGTAGCTGATGGCAAAGGAATTCTCGCTGCCGATGAATCAACTGGTAAATAGAACACAAGCAGTTATTTCTCATTGAAATTGCCGTGCTTTTTCTTCTTTTGAAGTTGTTTTTATCCCAAAGCGTACTTTACGGTCGAACTATCACTGCTGGGAAGTCTACACCATCTTTGATTTTCCCCCATTGGATTGCAGCTTACTTATCTCTTGAATATCGAACGAACTGATAGTCTTCATGCTGCATTGTCACCTTATCTTTCGAGTATTGAACAAATCAACAGTTTTCATTCCGAGCTATGCAAGTCATTTCTGAACACTTTGCAAATGAAAGTGCTCTTAATTGATATTATTGAGCACAAGGTTGTAATCGATATCCTTAATAGAAGCGCTTTTGTAAAAGTAATGGTTCCAGGAACCATTGGAAAGCGCCTCTCATCCATTAATCTCGAGAACAACGAAAATAATAGGCGTAGATACAGGTATATCAGAGTTGTTTGTGTCGTTTCTTGTAATCAGTACTAGTTTTTGAAACACAACATTTCGGACAACTGCTCTTCACAACACCGCATCTTAATCAGCATATCTCTGGTGTGATTCTCTACGAAGAGACTTACAACCAGGTCCGTATTTCTTATTTGACATTGCTGTTAAGATCTTGTTATTGACGTTGCCTCCCAACAGTTTACCGCCTCATCGTGGTTGGACGGTTTTCGTGTCTGGCGGGTTGCGATGTGCAGCGAGGAGATTCATCCCCTTGGCAAGGTCTCTCAAGCTGAGAAGGAGTCCGGCGTTTTTATCAGGAAACCCGGCTAAAAGTAAATCAGTGCCGGGACCCACTATCGTCCTAGTACCAAGCCAGTCGTGTGGTGGCAAACCCCTCTCTCATCCACAAGGGCGGCGACTGCTTGTTGTGTAAGTGATCTGGCAGACTTTGGCTAGGCTGACCTCGGGACTTCAGGGAACTACAATGGATAAACCTGCAAAACTGCAAAAAAATGGGATTTTTGCTCGAGCCCGCACAACCAGTGAGTGCAGGCCATCCAAGTATTGGAGTTGAAATGAAGTATTCAGAGTGCTTCCCAACTAACCAAATCACTTCCTTTTCTAGAATGTACATGAAATTTGAAACGTAAATTATGTTTCAGTTTTATCTGAGGGAAGAATTATCATGCTATCTAATGGGAACCTGGAAATCAAATTTAAGATGACTTTTTTTGAAAGTAGGGCAGGTATAGCGCAGTGCTTAGTGGTACCGTTGATCAGGAAGGAAAAGACGTTAGTTTGATCCCCGCCCAAGCGCTCTCCTCCAATCCACGTGGGAATGCCTTAAAACGGCTATCTAAGATTGCACTGATTATCGACTCGACTAGCACTCTATAACATTCATAAAGAAGATAAAATCCTCAGACCCCACCTGAAACAACGCGCAAAAAAGTTCGAAGACCATCGTGGGCGGTGAATGCGAGGAAAACGAATCGAATGCAAGAGGTTCTGGGATCCGCACAGTTGAAGTGATGTCGGGTCATATCAAGCAAAATGATAAGTACTTTGGAAGTACTGTTTTGTAGTTAGAAATTATAGGGGCGACATTTATTAGTATTTCTTCAGCATGAATTGAAAGTGGGTTGTAGGAAGCGCATTAGTTAAAGATGTTGTTCGAGACACGGTAGTGCTGAATTAGGTTATTCTTAGAACCATAGGTAGACATCTGTTCTATGAGTTTGAGTAGTTTTCAATTCCTTATGTATTCACAAAGGTTTTTGAACATGATATTGCTTTTCACGACGGCAGCGATGTAATCGTGTTGTTTCAGTCTACCGACAATGGAGTGAAATTCGTCGACCTTCTCAACAAACAGGGAATCGTACCAGGAATCAAGCTCGACCTTGGAGTTGTTCCACTTGCTGGCACCATTGGAGAGGGAACCACTCAAGGACTAGACAATCTTGCTCAGAGAGCCTCTGCTTTTAAGCAGGTTACCATTCATTTGTATTTGTTATGGTTGAACGACACGCCTTAGGCGTGGAACTTAAATTTTAATCGCACCACTACTTTCGTATTATATCACGTAGTAAGTCTTCCAAAGGAATCTTTTGGTTAATTTAAGATAAAAGAGATAGAAATAACTATCAATTCCAGGGAGGATGTGGTTTCGCCAAGTGGCGTTGTGTGCTTACTATTGGGCCTCACACTCCTTCTCATCTAGGAATGTTGGAAAACGCCAACGTTCTGGCTAGGTATACACAATCAGAGCAAAGTGGATGAAGTTGTTTAACAGTAACATTTTGTAGGAATTTTCTAAACGTCTTTATTTCATAGATATGCTTCAATTTGCCAAGCAGCGGGGCTTGTCCCAATCGTTGAACCCGAGGTATTGTGTGATGGAGATCACGATCTTGCTAGGGCTCAGAAGGTATTCTTTTTGGAGAACGATAGTGGAATTCTATATGGTTTCGCAGGAATATGTCGCTTCATAGATTGAAAAATTTGTAGATTGCTGTTCAATCACAGTCCCACCTCTTTATTAACATCCAGTTGATTTTCAGTTTTCTTCAGGTTACCGAGCAGGTGCTCGCGTTTGTGTACAAGGCACTCGCTGATCATCATGTGTATCTTGAGGGAACTCTTCTTAAGCCCAATATGGTAACTCCTGGACAAAGCTGCCCCAACAAGGTGAAGAACACTACATCTCCATAGTAGTGGGGTCTCTTTTTTTTCAAAGAGAGATACTGAAACATTTTTAATTGAATTTTCTCTTAGTCTTGAATTTCAGTCTACTCACGAAGAGATTGGTTTGGCCACTGTCACAGCTTTACGGCGCGCTGTTCCTGCCGCTGTACCTGGTATCACCTTCCTATCCGGCGGTCAATCAGAATTGGATGCAACAGCTAATCTTCACGCAATCAACCAGGTATTCTATGATAATTATTTGAAGAAGAGCTATTATTCTACGTGTAGTTCTATGTTTTAGGTGAAACTGCTCAAGCCATGGAAACTCACCTTTTCATATGGTCGTGCTCTTCAAGCATCAGTGTTGAAGGCATGGGAAGGAAAGGATGAAAACGTTGAAGCCGCTCAGAAAGTCCTTCTTCACAGAGCTAAGGTACTGACCGCCTAGTTTGTCATTTTCAACCTTCGTCGCTTAACCTTCTATTGGTCCTGGAGAAATTTTTTAGGGTTTTACGTTTCTCTCCATATTCTGTGGATGATCTTTTCTACTTTTATGATATTAATTACGTTTTGGCAGTAAGGTCTTTAGCTATAGATCTATCCGAAGAACTCATTAGCGTTGGTAGCGCTCCCACCCAGTCATATTAGTTGCTCCACAAAATGTTCTCATTCATCAAAATTTGTAAGCCGTCTATGTGGTTGCCTTTGGGAACGTAGGAGTCGTGGGGCCACGTACTTGCCTGTGCTGTTTTCTCCTCAGCGGGCTGAATAATATCGAAAATGGTTTTTCTATATTGCTTAGTCTCAGTGTTCTATTATAGCGGTCTTCAGTGGTTGAATACCATGTATTTCGGCAAATAATGCGAGATCAGTTAATGTGTGATTTTACCCTTGGAAGGCAGAAGTGGTGCTGTAGTGTAATCGCCACATTGCGCACAGCCCAATTTTATAGTTGCTTGAGGGATAAATATGACCGTTGATAGTTCCTACCATGATTGTTCCTTCCTCGTTTTCATTACTGTTGGACCATAGGAATTGTAAATTTTAAGTGGTGAAGTTGTTAATATCTGTAGAATTTGGCGTAGTATAGTGTTAACTTTAAACGAAAAACCTAGTGTTTAATGGTATAACATCACTTATTCAGGCAAACGGCATGGCTGCTCTCGGAAAATACGAAGGTGAAGATGCCGCTGGTGCTGCTGCTGAATCTCTCTTCATTGAAAAACATGCATATTGATCAGGATGTGACAATTTGAGATCCACCGCATACTAGTTTTCTGTATTTACACATTGTTTGTTAGCCCTTGAGTGTTTTTCGTAGTTCATTAGGCAAATAGTCGAGGTTATTGTAGTGTTCTTTTCAGTTTCAATATGGCTGTCATATAATAAATCCGTGGGCATTCTTTATTCCTGTTAGTGAACTTGATCGTTCTGACCGACTAATGTTAATTGTTTTATTAATGTCGCCGTTCCTGATATTTTGAAGTTGCTTAAAAGTATTGTAGATTGCGAAACGTCTTCAAAGTTTAGAAATGTCGGTGTTAATAGTGGTTTTAAACTAACAAGTTTTGTAGAATGACGTCAACAAATGAAAACTGCGACGAGGTCGCCGAAGCTAGAGAGAGGTATCTTCGCTTCTTGGTAAATGCTGCTGGGTGTAATGTTAGTTTTTTTTCCCTTTTCGGTCGACGAGTAGTGGGGCATGCTTTGTCGTTGGTAGTAATTTACCAAAGCTACTGTAACAGAAATATCTCTTGGATTATACTCTGGATGTGATGACGCCACTGAAAGAGGGGAAACTTCGTCGATTTTTGTAACAAACTGTCAAGGACCCGCATGGTGTGGTGGTGAACGCGTTAGCCTCCGGAAAGCGTAATAACGTGTTCAATGCTCACCGCAGACGCTGCAGTCCGGAGTTTTGCAAATATCTGAACATCATTGTATTTGTAGTTTACAAGATACACTGCTATGAAAAAGAAATAGGCAGTAAATAATAAAATGGTTGCATTGTATTTTATTGATTTCGGGAAAATTGGGTTGTTATTTAGGTAACTGTGTCTATGCATGAAAAGACAAATGTGAAAGGATTGTTGGTCGCAATGAAAGGTGATGGTAGTCACTTTCTTGTTGATAATCTCGAAACACCAATTGGAATCATGGAGAGTGCTGTACTTAGGTTGGTTTGAGATTGAAGCGCTAGAGCGATCATATGTTGTTTCTGAGTTACAAGTCTTTTGACCAAAGCAGTGGAAAACAACCGGTTACATTTATTTACGATAAATCAACGAAAATTATGAAGACGTGGCTTCTCTTGTAGTCTTTGGACGATATTATTCGTAGTTATGCCAAGTACGGTGAAAATGCAGTAAAATGCGATGAATTAGAAGTGAGAGTGTTCGAATCCAATATATGAGACAAATGTCATGTGTTATTACTTGATTTGGAAGATAGTTGCTATTTAAATGGTTACTGCGTGATTTCCCTTTTGAATTGCGGCTTCCTTGAGGAACTGTTTGCTTCAACCACGATGATGCTGAGATATGAGCAAAACTTGGAACTCCGTTTCTCTCAGGCAGTCTTTTACCCTAACGGTTTTATCACCAATAACCTGTCAACAGGAATGTTTTGAGGAACACAGATCGGTATTGAACCCAGTTAAACTGAAACTGTTGTCGAAATCACAAAGTATTTTGCTTCAGAAGGAAGTCTAGATTTAAACACTAAAGGTGGATTATAGTATTGCTGAGACATCTGCAAAACTCCAGACTCCTCAGGATTTTTCATTTCCTGTGACTGTCTGCGGTGGTGAACGAACGTACCATTACTCTTTCCGGGGGCTAAAGCATTCACCACCGCACCATGGGGCTCTTTGGTTTCGCCTGTCTCGCAACTAGTTTTCTATCTACCAGTAACACCAGCAGTCACGCCTCACCGAGATTGATCTGGGAAGCCGGCATTGGAGTCAGAACAATTACACTGTAATTGGCAGCAAATAAAAAGTGAACTCCCACGTCCGACTTTCTGTTAACCTGACTGAATACTTCTTTCTACTTCTGTTTAGCCAACACAAGGTGTAATGACATTGACATTATACTTCCACGTGATTTCTGTGCGGTTGGTCTCTACGTGACATACCTAGTGGAAACCTCATAGAAAGCGGCTCTGAAGAAGACGAAATCCGCCGAAACGTCAGCTTAATCGTGAACAAAGAATAGTAACACCTCGCGTTTGCTCAACAAAAATACGAAGAAAATCACTTGATCAATGCCGAGGTTAATAGAAAGTTGGTCGTGGCAGTTACAAGGTGTTATTTTATTTCTTTATTTACGTACAAGCTGACGTTTAGGCGGATTTCGCCTTCCTCAGAGCCTGGAAAGGTCAAGTTGACTGCAATCTACACGGCCAAACACCTCCATAACCAAACAAAGAAAATGCTGAACCAAAATTTCATTTACATTGAACACAGAGTCTTTGCACACTCACCGTTTTCTATAAGTCTTCCACTAAATATTGTCACGTGGAGACCAACCGCACAGAGTTCACATGGAATCGTATTGTGCCCATATCATCAGAATAACAGGGTTATATACTGCCCAATATCACGCGTGATAATGAGGCATTCCTCCCTGCGGTTCATTTTCGGACTTCTGGAATTAATCCAGAACGCCTCGAGGGTTTTGCGCGCTTGTGTTCTCGATTCCTGCGCAAGGACAGTAAGCTCCACTTCAAAATCTTCTCCGTTATGTTTCTGCGTCCTATGTGTGCCTAGCGGGGTATTTGGTCTATTTTTGCTGGCTAGGTGTTCTTTCATGCGGACACAGAGGGGTCTACCCGTTTCGCCAATGTATTCGTCACCACACGTCTTACAGGGGATCAAATAAACTATACCCGAGCTCGTGCAATCACTGTCTCTACTATTGGGGCAAGTTGTGCAATTTTGCGTTGCACAAACGGTCGTGTAGGCGGTTACGAACTAGCTGTCGTCTTAAATTACTCGGTGGCATTTCAATTGTCGTTACCGATTTCTCTAGACCGGTCCTTCTTAAAAAGGGTTTTATAGATGCACTTACTTCATTTGAAATGTAGGGCAGGATGAACAGGACTTTATTGCCGCTAGAGTTATCGTCTAACCTTAAATAGTGATGGATCGGTAGACGCAAGATCATCGCTGGATACTAACTTATGGGTTTTGATAAGTAAGTACAGGGCGGGACATGTTGGAAAATAAACTTTAAGTTCAGAAATAACTGATAGTTTTAACCTAGTCGCTCATGCCATTTTAACCCATTCGTTGTTTAACTTGCGGTATTGATTTTTAAATTCTTTCTCAGACGGCGTACGATAAAGGGAAGCGTCTTCAAGGTGCTTTTCCGTTATCTCAACATCTAACTGATGGGGAATTACAACGAACTCTCCACCCTTATCACTAACCGATAGTCTTATGTTTTTCGACCTTATCAGCTCTCGTACCTCCCGCATACCACGTTTTTGTATTTCAGTGAGGTTGGAGCAGTATCTTTAGCGCGATAGTGATTAAGGACTTTGAAAGTTTCATTCGTAAACATCCGAAATTTAACACCAAATTCATTATTGGGCTCTTGTTGTGTAAGGAACGGTTGAAGAACGGTTGCGGTTAGGTACGCATAGCACGCAGAAACATAACGGAGAAGATTTTGAAGTAAGGGTTACGATCCTCGCGAAAAACTCTAGAGGCATTCTGGATAAATTCCAAGAATCCGAAAATGAGCCACAGGGAGGAATGCCTTGTTATCACGCGTGATATTGGACAGTTTATAAGCCTGTTATTCTGATGGGAGGGGCACATTACGCTTCCATGTGAATTCTGTGCGGTCGGTCTTCACGCGACATACTCAGTGGAAGACTCATAGAAAGCGGTGAGTGTGCAGAGCTATGCTAAATGTGATTGAAATCTTGGTTTAGAGTTTTCTCTGTTTGGTTATGGAGGTGTTTGGCCGAATGGATTGCTGTCAACTTGACCTTTCCAGACTCTGAGGAAGGCGAAATCCGCCGAAACGTCAGTTTGTACGTAAATAAAGAAATGAGATAACACCTCGTGTTTGCTAAATGGAATTAAAAAGTGGGCGTTGTGATTTCAACTAAAAGTAAAGTTATATCTTCATTCGTTTAGTCTTATATTTGCACCGTTTTTATTGTGTAGGTAAATTATCATCAAAAAGTGTATTATACAATGACGGAACAGAGAGTATTGCATTATCACATTATTGGCGTTTTTTTTTCTTTCTGACTTCAATCTACATCATTTTCAGAACAGCAGATACAATTATGTTGACTGTAGAATGGGATGACGCAAATCGGCATAGGTGAAAATGATCTCAAGTACTTCACTTCTTTTGAGTATAGCAGATGCTGATACAATAAAGCATTCACTGTAGTAGCTGTGTGATTGATTTGTTAAGTTATCATCACGAAATCTATCTAGTGATGACAAAAATCAAACATTTTAGAGATCATGCACTGTGTTAGAAAACCTAAGGTCATCATTAGAATGCTTACATACAAGCAAAAAGACAATGTAACATGAGTAGGTGACTGATGCGCAATAAGCTGATGTTGGATGTCGACCACTGCATGATTCGAGTACGATATGTAGTTTGTTGGCACTCTATAACGGAACGCCACGCCCGGTCGAATTTCCCATTTGCTCCAGTTGGCTGGAATCGTACTCGTAATCTGCTTAGATGGTCTATCCTTTTGTCTGTTTAGTATGTGTTGGCAGAAATGATATACAAGAAAGTGATTACTAGCGGAAACTTTATTAGTTCTACAGGTCTAACACAAGTCTTCAGATGTGTGCCATTTCGCCCTATCGAGGAATTGCTAACAAATACCCGCTCTGCAACATCACTATACTAAGGACCTGAGCACGCCTTAATCTGGCTGCCCTCACTACATTGATACCACACCTTACCTCGCATGAGGTAGATCGGTCTCTTCGCCTACCCAGCAAGTATACGAGGTTGCCGTTGTCACCGATCTGATATAAACGATAGGAGATAGTCATGTAAAAATTATCAAAGGAATCCAATAATGGGTAAATGGTGGACTCCTCACATATCGAAACGGAACTAGCCTGCTGTTCTTCGTATACAATGGGGCTAGACGATAGATTCTGCATAGACGAAGTTTAAGGTGTTTTACAAGGTTCTGATGAAATCGCATACTACTCCGTACACTTATTGGGGATTATGAGGAAGAGGTTGCAAGTCTGCTAAATCTCGACAGTGCTAGTCTACACCTGTGTCTACGCATGTGTCACCTATTTGATTAATGCTCAGGGTGACTATGCTCCGTCATATAACCATCCTTGAGCAGATTATGCAAATTAGAACGAAGATGAGCTTCAGGAGTGGTCGCTATCTGGTGCCAACTCTTGCCCATTTAGAATGCAGTCAAACAAATGGAGTCGTTGGACTTGCGAACATTTTCTGCGCTAAAGCAGATCGAGGTCGTTTTCTTATTAGAAGAAGTCAGTAGGAATCACAAGATGTTAAAGAAGTAATAGTACCAATAAGGATATGAAGCAACGAGTTGCCTGAGATGAGGCAATACTTCACAGAACTCTATCCCTTCATATTCCAGAATGTAAAGTTTCACTGGCGGCACTTTACAACTGAAAAAAACATTCTCTAAACAACATTCTAGCAAGAGATTAGATGGATTGCCAAGAATCTCTTGGTAAGTGTTTCACGGATCATTTAGAATGCTCATAAATTCAAAAATACTGTCATGACAATTCCTTTGAAATGTGCATCATTCAGTGCAGTGGAGAATACAAGAGCACTGATCTGAGAAGAAAATACCACGTTTGATGTCTTCCGAACGTCTAGTGTATGACACATTTTCAACTAATTTGCGGAAACAAGTGCATATTATCTACATAGGGAGTTCAGTCCAAGAAGTGTCATATCAGCAGCATTGTACCTGTAATCGTCAACCTTGCTCGAGTTTTCCAGTTAAAACTTGGATATTCTGTGTCCTTGTGAGGAGGCCATCCAGAGGAATAACCAATACAACAAGACTACCTATTGTATTTTCGAATATCCTGCTGTTGTGGATGTGCTGGTTGCCAGATCACATGTTAGAATGTTGGAGTAGCTAAGTATGGATATCGTTGCTATTTGTTATGCTTGCTGAGGTGATCTCATAAAGGCAATTACGTTTACGCACCATTCCCAAACACGAGCAAGAGGCCATAACCCTGGCCAGCACCGGAGTTACATCGAAGTATTTGATGTACGTCTCCTATCTATGTCTTTTGAATTGGAAATCATGACAAGGAACTAAACTGCTGACTCTGAGTACCATGGCTCATATATGGTTTTTACTGCGACAGTTTTAATTTCCATAGTTGACTACCTACCATCGGTTTGTGTTAGCTTTGTCGTCTCGTTGATGAGTGTCATAATTAAGGAACGTCCGTCGGCTCCCAATGAGCACCATGACCGAAATCGAATAGTAACTGGTCCTAAGAGTTGAGTTTTGAGTGGTGATTAAGTATATGTCTAGTAAAATCTAAAGAGCATTATCAAAAACATCATATGTTACTAATTAGTGATTAAGAGTTTGCTTTCTTCCGACTTTTACAATAATTTTTAACTAATTGGATGTCCTCCCAACAGTTTACCGCCTTATTGTTGCTGGGAGGTGTTCCTGGGTGTCGGACTGCCATGCACAGCGGGGAGATTCGTCTCCGCGGCAGGGTCTCCCAAGCTGAGAAGGAATCCGGCGTTTTCATAAGGAAGCCTAGCTAAAAACAAACCAATACCAGGATCCACCACCGTATTGGTATCAACGTCGCATAGTGGTAAATCTCGCTCTGATCCACAAGGACTGCGATTGCCTGTCGTGGTGACGACCTGGGGCAGACGTTGGCCAGCGTGTCTTCGGGATTCCAGAGAACCACAATGGCTTGACCAGCAAATCTCCGAGAAGTGGTGATTGTGCTGGTGCCCGCACAACTAGTGATGATGGGCCGTTCAAATATCAATTAATTGGATGGATGTATGGCGTATAAAAATAACACGCTAGGTTGGCTAGATGGTAACCGATTCCATTTTGTGACTCACAATGTTCTGTTGCTAAATAGGAAGCTTTCTAAACTCTTAGGATCTACATTTAACCGTACAGCTGCGAATTGTTCTGTTAACAGCTGGCAGTTCTTTTGAACACTAGCCCTATCACGTTGTCTAAAGTTAAACAGTGAAACTCTCTCTATGTTTTGTTCTTTGAAGTGTGGAATATTCTTATTGAATACTACTACTGATATTTTTTGCCTGAAGTGATTTTTGTGATGAGGTCGTTATCAATCGTTGTTATTTAGATCACCTACTCTATTTTGTAGGTACTGTAAGTATTATGAAAAATTCTCGAAATGTTAAGTGATAAAGTCAGTGCCCTAATTGTACTGAAAACGTGAAGTGAAACAGATTTGAATCGATTGATAACTCGAAAGACCGACTTTCTATAAACCTCGACATAGATGGTTGATATATTTATGTGATTTTATAAACTGATCATCAGCTTCAGGGTCAGCTTAAGAAGATCAGTTTATAAGATCACATAAATAAATGAATCGATTGAGTATTCACTGTTAAGTTCCCTACTGTATAGGAAATTTGACATTGACAACAAGTAGCTAGCTACACTAATAGTGTCTAAAGCAGCTAAAACCAATTTGAAAATAAGACTGGTCTCTTAGCTGATGATAAAATGCCTTTAGAAAGTGATTTGCTGAGAAATCTCGCTAAAGAACTCTATAGATCGCTCGTTGTAGAGAGTTACGTGGAATTTTAATAAGAATCACTTTGGTCTTTCTGGTGAAAGAAGCCATTAATCCATTCACTCCAGTTGGTCCACCATCGTTCGCTGATGCAACGTCGTTCACAACGACCGTATTCGATACCGCATCCAGAACACTCTTTGCCGAAGCAATGACGGATCCTGAGAAGCTAACGTATAATATAAGATTTCGAAATGTTTAAACTATGTTAAACCCGTGGTTTCCACCTTCTTAACTCGTGAGGAAATGCTCTATTTTCTCGAATTACCAGCTTTTTTCCTAAGAATTTCATCCTGGACGATGCCCTAGTTTCTAATCAATCTAATTGATAGTTGAAGGGCTTAAGAGGATACTTAAGTTGTTTTTGGATATTTTTAAGATCGATTTTAGTTTCATATCTATTTCTGTTGCTGTAAAATTTGAGTGAACCGGAGATTTTTCCTCACTACCCAGCAGAAGACTTAAGAAGAAGAACCATTGAATTTACTCAAACATCGTGGCTGAAGTACTCGAAATCAAACGCTATTCATAACATCTAGCTCACTTGTATAATTGACAAATGTGTAACGTCTATAACGCTGAGATATTTGCAAAACTGCGGACCGCAGATGTCCGCGGTGGGGAACGAACGCGCTATTGCCCTTTCCGGGGAGTAACGCGTTCACCACCACACCATACGGGTCTTTCGTTTCGCCTGTCTCTGGGCTAGTTCTATACATTAAGCATCATTTGGAAGCGATTTCATGAATATCTGGCCTTTACAATGACTTGCGGTGGCCATGCAGGTCCCAGATCAATCTCGTCGCCGGTTGATTGCTGATGGCCTGATCGATAGAACTAGCTGAGAGGCAGGCGAAACGAAAGACCCGTATGGTGTGGTGGTGAACGCGTTACTCCCCGGAAAGGACAATAGTGCGTTCGTTCCCCACTGCAGACACCTGCTGTCCGGAGTTTTGCAAATATCTCAGTATCATAGAAGTTATATTTCGCAACATACCCTGCCATTAAAAAAGAGTAGGCACTAAATAAAAAGGTTAAGGTTTATAGACGTGTTATTGATAGATATGAGTTCAGAGCAGGAGCGAAACGTAATACACAGTTGGTTTTTGGTTGGACCATGCTCTCTGTACAAACTAAGCCCTCCATCCGTTTAGAGTCCATGAATTCGGACTTGACTAGGGGAATAAAAACACTGGTTTGGATACATTGGTAGGCATTCGGAAAACTATTCTACAGACGAGGTATGTGCATTACTCACTTCTACGATGCTACGAATGAAACCAAATGCATAGCCAGCGACCAGGAATTGATCAACACCAAGAGCCTTATCTTCTACCCTTTCTGTGATCAAATTATGAAGTAGTAATCCGACCTTCGTCGCTGATTTGCAGGACACGAACATTCTCCCCATTCATTCCACTCACTCCAAGAGCCCCATACGAATTCTGGAATAGTCTGACCGATGGCTTTCGTGGCCGGTGTAGATTCTTTTGTGCGGTTACATATTCTTGTCTGGATGTATCCTCCTTTGCAACCGGGAAGACCTAAAATAAATAAATGGTAGTGTTCTGATGCTTTGGAAAATCGTAGAGATGCTGAACACTTTTTAATGCCTTGGCGGCGGCCCTGAATAGAAAGCTTTCTCATCGATTTCACTCAAATATGCTTTTTAGTTCTTCTGTTGTTTTTCCGACTATTTAAATACCTTTTACTCGCCGAACCATCTACTTCAGCGAGTGTTTTCGTATTGAATCGACAAACACTGATGTCGTCTATGTTTTTGGAATGATTAGAATCGTTGTAGATTCTTCGGCCTGATTTTCTCGTATGTTACCGATATCCTAGTGAATTGGTAACTGATTTCCATACTAATGTCATAGTTTTGTAACAAATTCGGCATGCGTATATTACTATAGGTGCTCGTGTAGTGTGATGCTGTGGCTAGAGATTCCCTGCACTGCATACATCGTCGTTGATTCGACCCTACAACCAGATGAGCCCAGTCCATCTTTCCGAGATCTGCAAATCATTACCAGACACATATCCAAGAAGAAACCTCGGTATCACTGACCAACATTTTTCTGAATGATTAAGCTAACACAGAGCTGTTATAAAAGGATAAAGGGTGAATCTCTCGGCGTCTATCAATCCTTGTGGGATACGCCATGCATTCGGCTTCATTAAGTATCGCTGGAGGTGACTGAATGCATATCTGGCCTTTAGAATGACTTGCGGTAGTCTAACCGATGTATCGAGCCAGTGCTGCTATCCTCCCAGACAAGTCTGGTAACAATTTGCCGACCTCGGAACGATGGAAGGTTTGGTGGGCCCGGGGACCGGGATCGATCCAATTTGTATTGAAGGGCTCCTTTGACCAGTGCGCCACACGCGCCCTGCATTCGGCTGTAGTAGAAGTATTTTTGTGTAAATTTGGCCTGCAAAGTGATTTCGATGAGCCTTCCGATGTTTCCATTCAGTATCTTCTTGAATGACTAAGCTAACACGAGGTCGCTTAGAGTTTTATTCGGCTAACGTTTCGACGTCTTCTTCGATTTTCCACAGCCGCCCTCTTCACCTTTGCATCCTGTCGACTAGTCTAGAGTGAAGCACCGGTGGAATGAGGAAATCACACTCATTCAAAAAAAAATATTGATTAGTCATACGGGGGTTAATAGTCGATTTTGAAAGTTAATGATTTTTTGCCTAATAGCTAATATAACACCGACTACTGCCGGATGCGTTGCCATAATGAAAACAGATGAGCAGATCACATTGACTGGCAGCCGATAAACAACCGACTCCATAAAGAGACCCCGCTAAGTGAGGAACACGAATTTTAGGATCGAAGTGAAAGTTGCAGCATCCATCCATTTCTTCTACTGACGTTACGGAAGTGATTTGCAAAAGTAGATTGAGTACCAATTTAACTCTTCAAGCTCTGAAGAAGGAGAAAGGGTCAAAGTGTTAACCATTCTGGAGTAAATCCTATATTAACAACCTCAGGTTTTCTCAAGAAGACATTAGCTTTCCTAAATACTTGCATGGATCCCTGTCACGTGTAATTAGGCATGGGATAGTTTCATTCGAGAATTATTTTACTGGTGTTGTGGGCTCTCCTTTAATTGCACTCTGGAGATATTCGTGATAGGATTATCCAGCTCGACATCATAGGCAGTTCCTCGCCGTTATGAGTTACAAGATTTTTCTTTTTTGAATAACAGTTCGGTAACCATTCCTAGTACTTCCTTAGTCTTAACAGAACTTCCAGACGGATACGTGGAACTCGTTCTCAGTTTATGAGACGTTGCTATAGGGATGAACATGAACTGGCTTGGCTATCCAGAAAAACCAAGCGCCCACAAGGTTGCGACAAGCCATTGAGGGATCCATTTAAATAAGGTTTGTTTGTTTATGAACTCGACCTGCACTTTGAGCTTGCCCCCACTCATTTGTTACAAGTTCCCTTACACTGTTATGCTACTAATATGACAAAAAGAAGAAAAAAATAAATTTCTGCGCAATATTCAATTATTTACGCATAATTCCACTCGCTAGTATTCTACACTGTTCCTCACATATTCCGGTCTAGAATAATCGCCTCCACTGCTTTTCTTTCGAAATTTTCGTTGTATTTGAAGAAAATATAAGAAGTGAAAGGGCAGAAAATCTTAAAATTTAATTTTGAAAATCCAAGAAATTGAATAAAATGACTTCTAATCGATAATTAACAGTTGATTAAAAGTGGGATAGAGTTTGGATTCCAGGTTTAAAGTGGAATAGAGTTTGGATCCCAGGTTTAAAGTGGAATAGAGTTTGGATCCCAGGTTTAAAGTGGAATAGAGTTTGGATCCCAGGTTTAAAGTGGAATAGAGTTTGGATTCCAGGTTTAAAGTGGAATAGAGTTTGGATCCCAGGTTTAAAGTGGAATAGAGTTTGGATTCCAGGTTTAAAGTGGAATAGAGTTTGGATCCCAGGTTTAAAGTGGAATAGAGTTTGGATTCCAGGTTTAAAGTGGAATAGAGTTTGGATCCCAGGTTTAAAGTGGAATAGAGTTTGGATTCCAGGTTTAAAGTGGAATAGAGTTTGGATCCCAGGTTTAAAGTG